AGAGGTTGTACGTCCGCTTTGGAGGTGTGTAAGGACGCTGGGGATTTGGTGCGTACAGTCAGGGACAGTACGGAGCGGATCCGGATATTGTCAGGGGATCTGGAGAGGATACCGTGACACCTCTCATCTGTGTGAAGCAAATTGGCTGTTCTCGACTTGTTACTGGCGGCAGAAACTGGTCGTTGGCGGTGATCATAGAAGACCTTGTGTCGAATGTCAGGCGGTCTTTTGAAGATATGAACATTGAAGTCTGAAATTCTGTTGTGGGGTCAACAGTGAGGCTCTGAGGAGATGTCGCATGTCACGCGAACGACAAGGCACGGACTGAATGAAAGGCGATTTCATTTGTTGCTTGGCGGGGGCAACGCGCTAGCGCTGGCACGAAGCCGTTCTTGGCAGTCAACTAGCTACCCCCCTCCCTCTCCGAAGCTGTTATTCGTCAGCCAAGCGCGCGTGCAGAGCTCAATAGTGACGTAATCTCGAAGCACACCTCGCTCTTGCCCAAGGCCTCTCACTACGCCTAGTAAACAAACTGTTCACTGTACGCAGTACCATACAATGCACGTCGCCGGCTAGATCAGCGTCTGTGCAGCCCGTCCGTCAGTTGCTAACGACAATAAACACACAACACCCATGTTACTGCTTACCTTCGCTACAATACCAACCCGCTACCAGAGAGTTAATTAGAAGCAGCAATACTGTTGCGGTCCTACTGTAGAAGGAATGTTTTCGCGGCAAAACGCTTCGCTGAGATTCCAAACTTTTTGCAATTAATTGTGGCAAGTATGTTGGTAATTACATTGGGTAATGTTATCGCAATCGTCTGAGTGCACAGAAGCTGAGTTATGAACGTGCGAGGACGCGAAACTTGAGCAAGTGACTAGCTCGCTTGTGGATCATGTTGCACGAATCTACTAGCTTGTTATGTGTCTCTTGGTAGTGCAAATATTAACTCTAATGTACCAAAGAATCTTGGGCTATTCAGCAAACCGACTGTCTAAACATGAGCCCAGCCATTCTCAACCAGTACCTGCATTTCGTTGATAAGGCAGATCTCTCCAGCTTCTTCGTTTTCTCTGCTCATACTTTTCCACCTTTTGACTCTTCTCGAAACCTCCCCCTCTTTGAGCCAAGGTGAAGTCATCCATCGGCGGATACGATTTTCCCACAAGGCCTTGAATACCTGCCAAGAGGAAAGAAGCAATCCTTGCGGATGTACAGCATCGTATGCCTCACCACTATACCCTACACGCACCTGAGGATTTACGTAAGTTCGTTTCTCGACACGAAGAGGATTGTCTATGTGTATTAAGCAACATTCAGAACCTTCGACATGCGAAGCCGCAAGAGAGTCCGGAATGCCACGAAATTGCAGCGAGGGACTCGAAACGAAAGGTCCAGCAGGCATCGCAACTGCATTGGAACGTAACGAATTAGCCATTGACAGGAAAATATATAAGGGAACGAATCTATAGACTGTAGAGCCCATCAATAATATCTTAGACTTACCTATGCCATTCCAACAACTAGTCACGGGCACGGGACGATTTCTCAACATCGCTCTTCGGGACTCCCTGGCTCGGAAGTACGGCCACGTCTGCATGAGTCTTTCATGACCTTCGGCATCCCGGAGCGCAAATGTATCGTAGAACTGCGGAGGCTGACTAAAGTCCAGTGAACAAGCGGCTGCAAAGTCTCCATCGTTTGTATTGAGTAATCGGAAAATGTCGTCCGTCTGTACTATCGTCAGCTACTCCAGGCATTCGAGTGAGTCAGCCCATAAGGCATACATTAAATACGACGTCGTTCAAGAAAAGAACTTTATCAAACCGCTCCCCTTGCCGAGCTAGCTCCTGCAAAGGCTCAAGGGTCCAGTTACGAAGTCGAGAAAGATATGGTATCCGTCTGAGCTCTCTCCTTCCCCTGGGTGTGTCGATCCAGCCTGAGCCTCTGTTCACTACAGAGATCTCATCTAGATGAGTAGTCTCCGAAAGAGTTATGTTTCGCCTGATCTTATGTGCCGCTAACGCCATGTCAAGCTCTCTCAAGGCGCCTTTGCTATCGTCCCAACTCCCGCTTTCGTAGACTGTAACGAAGACATTCTCCCGGCCAAGCGCATTAGCCAGAGCGATTACGGCATCGTTCCAATGACTTCGCAGAATCCGCTCGTTGTTCCAATGTATACTAGCGATGTACACTCGTTCCGATCGTTGAGTAACAGGTTCGTTCGTAGGGCTCGAAAGGCAGCGCAGAATTTGCGCAACCTCAAAAATATTGAATAAAATGAAAACAAGAATGAGAACTTGCTTAATTGGACGACGACGTAGCACTCGTAGGTTGCGCATCATTGCTGCCACCGAGGCTTCGTAGAGGCATGCTGTAGGTCGAGGAAATGAGAGCTGCGCAACTGATCGAGGATTTCGTCCTTCAGCTGCAAGCGAAAAGAAGCTCGCGGCATTAGGCGGGTACGGCGAAGCATAGACCTGACATGTGGGGCCGTCCCCACATGCTCCAATAACATCATTCATCTAACCGCCTGTCGACCCTGAAATCAGGCATTCTCATCACCACGCAACCATAAGCGCTTATGACTAGGTTTATCCGCCAACCAAAGACCCTCTTTTAGCTTGACAGTCGTGCGGCTGCAAGGCAATACGTAGACGCTGCATTATTTCTGCCTCATCTCAGCAAATTGCGGTTGCCGGCTACCATTCATTGGACTTTGCTGTCGCTCGAGTCGAGCTTAGAAATGCGTCCTGGAATCACCTCGTGACTATATTGACAGAGGTCTAAATGCTATACGTACTAACTTACGGTTGGACTGCACGGTGTTACATATGACAGTTTCTAATGGTGACGATCGTCGTTGGACCCTCGAGGTAACATGCGTCGTAGGATCAGCTGTGCGGTATGACTTCCAAAAAAGGACGTTTCATGTAGTGTATCATGCAGGGGCTAGATGATGCCCACCTTCCATCTGCCATCTTGCGATGAGGCTACCCGTTCGATATAATCAGTCCTTCCCTCTACCATCCTCAATATACTTTTCGATCTACCCAGCTCCGGCCTCATCCGCATTCCGCAAGCCTCTGCTGCGAGTGGCATGATGAGCACTTGGGAGCTGAACAGACTGGAGTCTTCGTTGGGAGACCAAGAACCTTCTGACATGTCTGCCCTACCAGGTGCAGGTTACTCAACGACGTCGTTGATCACCACAAATCCGTATGTCCTTCCCTGCGATAGTCCGCTCTGTACAGAAGAATAGTTATCGATGTCCACACAGCAGTCAACATTATGGACGGCTAGAAGCTAACGCTTGATTCAAAGCTCAAAAGGCAATACACCATCTATTTCCTCATCCGAAGACACAGCCGGTCGACAATTTAATATTCAGATCCCGCACGATGCCTCGAAGCCCTATCGAGGCTTCCGCTCATATATTCAACAACTTTTTAAGACCCTCGGGCTTTCAATCGGCTCCAACCTTCTTGCTAAAATAATGGATTCGCCAGACAGAGAGACAAAGAAGGTGGTGATGAAGCAAAGTAAACGCAAGGCTACACTCCGATGCATCGTACATCTTGTTCCAATATCGGCAGCAATTGCTTTACTTGTTCTCAACGGATCTAACCACTACATTGGCGGTGAACTTTCGGGCGCTAATGGGCAAGACAATCAGAAGCTGGCGGCCCTACTTTTTGCAGCGAAATTACATGAACTATTCATGCTTGCTTCACTTAGCGCCATAGTCATTACATATATCCGGAAAGAGTTAGTGTTTGGCGATGGTGTTCCATTTGGTACTGTGTTCTCAGCAACCCAGTTCAAGGACCTTACCTTTCTTTGGTCACCGGAACTTTGGGGCACAATCTATAATGAGTGGCAAAAGAAGCGGAAAAAATGGTTTGTCATCTGCCTGCTCGTTGTATGCTCGATCGCGGGACTTACAGTTGGCCCATCCACTGGTATACTTATGAGACCACGACTGGATGAGTGGCCCGCTGGTGGAACGACATTTTGGATCAACGCCACGAGATCTTCGTTGAATCCTGAGAGGATAGAGGCTTCTACGGACCTGAGTCATTGCGCCTTCGACAACGGTGATCCATCTTGTCCAGCCGGTGGCTGGCAAGTCTTCAATGAGCAGTATTTTCCGTATTGGCAGTCTCTTGGTGGCATGGGAGCCATTCCGCAGTCACTGTACATGCCTGGACGCTCATCGCTACGCCAGTTTGTTCTCCGTACAAGGAACATCCGCGACATAGCTTCTTCACTCCTTTGGGCGAACGCATTCACGCTAGCGAGCGTGTCGCCTTCGATAGTTGCGGATGCATTGGTCGACCTTGAGAGATACTGGATTAATGCAGCGGCAAATGCAGACATTGGCAACTTTAAGTATCGTCGAGATGCTTCCTTTATGACGGATACCCTACAGCCAATTGTTCTGACGCGATGTCACGGTACCGACTATGCATTGGGCGATACGGTCAACCTTAACTTCCCTGGCTTTCGCCATGTCACACTCAGTGGTGGTCCAGGCTCTGCAGCCGGACTTGGAAGCTTCGCTAGTATCGAGGACTGGTTCCAAATCAATAACACGAACATAACTTCGCAAATCGAAACACTACTTACTGTCAACAACCGCCCTTCACTATACTGGATCGACGATGCCGAGTTCCTGCAAGCAACCCAGTCTTCCCTGCTAGCGGTGGCTACAGTTCCAGAGTCAAATGCAGGTCCAGCTGCATATCACGCATGCAGCATTGACAGCAAACTAGCAGATATCACGCTGAAAGCCTCACGAAGTTCCATAACACACGTCTTCAGCGCCCCCCCTGGATATGATAACGTCGGGACTTTCAATGCGACCTACCAGACAGTTAAGCCCAGTGCCGAATGGGCAGCATACCTCAACCCTGTGGTATCGACATCCCTCCAAACAAACGAAACTGTTTTCTCTACTATGGCATCAACAGCGGGACTATGGACATCAACGCCCAATACGAATCCAGAGTGGTTCTCTATAATCGTCGAGAACATCCTAGCGACGCTGGTTGTTAACGGTATCGGTCGAGCAAATTTCGAAAGAACTTTAGTCGGTACTCTCGCCGGTTTAGACAATCCTTCGGACCCATGGAGCCTTGGCAAGTGGGTGAACCAGATTCTTCCCCAGAACGGACGATTGGGGTATGGTGGCGATGCCTTCGACATCTCTGAGATCGATAAAGAGAATGCCACCAAGTTTGTGCTCAAAGTACAGATCCTGGGTTACGCGTACAGCCCCAAGGGGACAACACAAATCGCAGCAATGTTTGCTCTCTCACTTTACGTGTTACTTGTTCTGTGCCACGTTGCGTATTCTTTAACGACCGGATGGTATTCAAGCAGCTGGGGCTCTCCTTCAGAACTGACCGCGCTTGCAATGAATTCGACTCCTTCTAGCCGACTAGAAAACACTGGAGGTGGCATTGAGACTGTCGACGTTTTTAAAGAGAAGGTCATGGTTCGATTAAAGGATGAAAGGACCCAGCTGGTATTTGAGGACACTGTTGGTGGGGAAAAGTTGAAAATAGGAGTAGCATATGCTTAGGCTTGACTATGGGTAAAGATTAGGCAATATGATAAACTACAGAAAGGGAGGTGCAAACTGGTTTATTCCCGCAAAGGACTATGTGCCTGACTACCGTAGTTAGTCAACACATGCACGCCATCCCCAGATGCGCCGACCGCGTATTATGCACCAAAATCCTCAACACCATAACTCAACGCCACGTTTAAAGTGGATAAAACCCTTGCAGAGTGTGCATTGATGAACAACACAGGCAAGATCATGGATGCAGTCATAGCACGACGGCTCAGCTACCTGGCTGAGACCCATCATGTCCTACCGCAGACACACATGGGCGGCACGAAGATGCGACCTACTGAGCACGCACTCCATGCCGTCACCCATAAGATCTACAAAGCATGGAGCCAAGGCACTAGTCAGGTGGCGAGTCTCTTGCTGCTTGATGTCTCCGGCACGCCTGCTTCACGACCTGAGGAAGAGGCGAGTAGACGAAAAGACAGTGAAGTGGATCGCAAGCTTCCTCAGCAACAGACACAGGAGTATCACCATCGACGGCTTCCGGTCAACGGCCTACCAGATAAACACAGGCATACCACAGGGCTCGCCGCTATTGCCTATCCTCTACCTCTTCTACACTGCCGATCTGATAGATGAATGCAACCATGCGCCAGATGCCATATCCACAGGTTACATAGACGATGGCGGCATTCTGGCATGGGGCAAGACAACAGAGCAGACGTGCGACACGTTGGGCAAGATCCTTGAGAGAGCAATGGGCTAGCAAACATGCATCAGTCTTTGCCCCAAGCAAGTTCCAGCTCACGTACTTCACCAGATCACACAAGCGCATCAGTACTGAGACTTCCATTCGAACCAAGTGGGCCAAGATACAGCCCAAAGCAACGTGCAAATATCTTGGACTGACAATGGATGCGAAGCTACACTGGAAAGAGCACACAGAGCAGATCAGACGAAAAACAACAAAGACAGTCAACGCGCTCAGCTGCCTGGGAGGCTCCAACTGGGGTGCCAGCCTTCTCAACCTGCGGCGGATATATGAAGGCACCGCGCTCCTGCAGATGTTGTACGCCTGCTCAATATGGTCGAACGCTAGTCTGAAAGGGAAGCTGTACACCAGGAAGATGCTCAACATCCTGCAGAGCATACAGGCAAAAGCAGCGAGAGTCATCAGTGGTGCTTACAGAGCTACGTTGAGAGCGGCGCTAGACATAGAGTCGTTCCCTCTTCCCATCGAGCAGATCGTGTAAGAATACGTAGACAAACACGGCGAATAGAAAGAGATAGCCATATATACAGACAACTAGGCCGCTATCTGGTCTATAGCTAAGGCAGAAGGACAATCAGGGGCCTACATCTTCAAAGAGATTGCGCGACAGGTCCAGGAACTCCAGGATAAAGGATGGACAGTGACTGTCCGCTGGATACCTGCCCATGTGAGCATTCCCGGGAACGAGGCCGCCGACCAGGCCACCAAGGAGGCCTCATGTAACTAAATCTTTGCATTACTAAAGGAGCCACTGCTCCTCTTGTCTTCCATAGTCTCAAACTCACATAGGATGTTAAATCAATCACTCAATCAATCAAACATGGGCGGCATGTGCACACACTCGGTATGGCCGAGCTTATACGCTAGGTTGTGGTTGCTTCCGATGCCGACGTCTTCCGAGCTTGCCGAACGCTGTAACACCCTTACATCCTCCTACATCAGGCGCCAGCATCACGCCAGTACTACTAAAGCGAACCTCTCTATCATTCAGATCGTGGATGGCGTCAAAGAGAGCCTTCTCTTTTCCGGATGAAGCCGACAGAATCCTCGGGGAGAGGAAACGGTCCCGGAACAAAGTTGCCTGTTATCCGTGCAACAAACGCAAAGTTAAGTGCGACACTGGGTATGACATTTTCATGGCATTCTCCTCGCATTCTATGTACTGATTAATAGACAACCATGCGCAATGTGCGTCAGGCGTGGCCATCCCGTGATATGCACCTATCCTGCCGATCGTGTATGGGACACAACACCTGGGCACGTCACAGTGTCTGTCGAGCAGCTGCGACCCGGATCAAAACGGGAAGTGACCAGAGCCCCCCCATTCTTGGGTTTAGAGTCGACTACGGCATACATGCAGCGGCTCGCCACCGAGACTGGCAGTGAAGTAGCTCAGGATGTCTCTCCAGCCCTCGCTCTAGGAGGCGTCCTGAGTTGGAACCCCTTCCAACGCTATCATGAGCGCGACAGCGGCTTCTTAGAGTTGACAAAGATTCTTCCTGGCCGAGAAAGTGTTCAGAGGTATGCTGGGATCGTTTCCAGGGTCGGATGACTCATGCTAATCATGCAAAGATACTACCATCTCTATCGCTCAACGGTGCATCCACTAAGCCCACTAATTGACATAGAACCTTTGGACCTCAAGATCGCAGACTATCTAGAAGATAGCATTACCATCATGTCTGACGTGACCTCGGCCGCTACTATTGCCCTTATCCTTGCTATCCTCGCATCCGGAGCGCAATACTCCGATCTTGTGCAGTCCGAACGAAGGAGGATTTCACGAGACTTTGCATCGAAGAGCTTCCGCGCGCTTCATCTAGCGAACTACCTCATTCGGCCAACTGCGCCATGTTTGCAAACATTACTTCTCCTTGGGTCCTTCATTCGAAATGACGGAGACGCTAACGCATCATGGGCGTTACTCGGCACTACCATGAGGTTGGCGCAGAGCGTTGGTTTGCATGACGCTGAAAACATTCAAAGCCTTTCCGCCAGTGACAAACGAATGCGATCCCAGCTCTGGAAGACAGTGCTGCAGCATGACAGCATCCTATCGCTTTGCTTTGATCGCCCGACCTCTTTACCTACATTGCCACTGTCAAACCTTCCTTCCTCGACACCAGCAGAAGTTCTGGACTATTCACAGATGATGTGGGGGATCACGAGACTCTGTGTCGGCAATTTGATGCATCTCGCCCGCGAGATCAACCTCAGTCGAATCCATCAGTCTCTTAGACAAGTCGACAACCTCATCACGCAGTCTTCGCCCCATTTACAAACAAGAACAGCGTGTCTCAGCATGCAAGACCGCCTCGAGCACTATACCATCAACCTTCACATGAGTTTCCTAGTCTCAGTCATATGTAGGCCTGTATTTTTGGCCTCGGATAACGAGAACCACCAAGAGTGCATGGCTTTGAACACCAGAGGTCGAGCTGCACTCTCAAATACCGTTCGCCATTTCTTGAATCTACAGAAGCTCACTACATACGCTATACGAACTTGGACAACCCTACACGAAGCATTGAGCTCTGCACTCCTGCTCGAACTATTGCACGAGTCAGACAAGAACGCTGAAACTAGAATCATGCAGAAGCAATTCCTGGAGGTAGTCATCCCAACACTTGACAATGGATCCGACAGAGACACTGGTCTCTCCATGCCGCACACGAGAGCTATCGCTGCTCTACGCAAGATTGCTACGAGGCAAACACAACCAAATCCTGCTACGCTTGTTCCCATGGGTTCAGGCAGCTCAACGCAACCGGTGCCTGACCCAAGCAACATTGCAACCTTGCCGGACCTGATCCCCACCACTTTTGATCAGAGTACCTTGGACTCTTTCGATTCAATCTTATGGGGTATGTTCCACCTTCTTGTACAATTTCCATACATGGATATTACTAATCATGATGCTTTCAGATACCGAGCCGACGTTCCATGACCAATTTTGGCTCGGCCTCAATAACGACTTTCCCGGGATCTGACTGAATACAGCTCGACGCCCGTTCTTCATTCCGACTTCTTGTCCAGCCGAAAGCTCTCCCAGCGCTCAAAATTCTCCACATGAATGCCAAAATTGTCAAGCATCCGGCCAACGCTCTGGTCAATCAATTCCTCTATCGTTCTCGGCCTGGTGTAGAATGCAGGTACTGGAGGGAAGATTGTCGCTCCAGCTCTTTCAAGAAACGTCATGTTGTCTAGATGAACGGCGCTGAGAGGGGTCTCTCTGACAGCTAACAGTAGCTTCCGTCGCTCCTTCAAGCATACATCGGCCGATCGCGAGATAAGGTCGTCGCAGAAGCCAGAACGAATAGCGGCTAGTGTTTTCATCGAGCAAGGGAGAACGATCATACCGTCGTGAAGGAAGCTGCCAGACGATGGCGGAGCTGCCATGTCTTTCATAGCGTAGTACTTCGTTGCAAGGGCTGCAATGTCGGCGAAGGACCTCTCGGTTTCGTACTTCATAGTAGCCAAGGCCCATTTCGAGAAAATCAGGTGCGTTTCGACGTTTAGCTCTTTAAGTAGCCCCAGCATTCGAATGGCATATAGTGTTCCGGTCGCACCTGTGACTCCCATCACGATGCGTTTTCGTGGCGGCGTTGAACCATGGGTTGACGTGAGGAGGTGTTGTTGCTTTGACTGGCTTGTTGAAAGATATCTCGTATTGACTATCGAGGAAATAGTATCGTGGCATGAGCTACGCAATGGGACCCCCGACCTTGACAAGGGTACAAAAACATGCTTCTGGATGCTGCGTGCTGCTACCATGATTGTTGTGCTGTACGGAGGCTGTGGGAACAATGATCAAGGGCAGGAGAGTTGGACGGATAATATAACCATTCGCATCCCGAGCTACGACCGAGCCCGAACGCAGTGTGCACATTGCTTCATTGCTTGCCTTCGCCGAAGTGGGCCACGCCGCCGATACCGATACCGAAGCCGAGTCGTAATGAAACACCAGAGGTTGATCCGAACGTACGAGCCGGCTGAATACCTCAGAATGTCGATATATAAGCATTAACCATTGCTTCTTGGGGTCTACGTATTTCAACAATGCCTTTACCAAACATCGTCCGTCTGCACCAAGCCCGCACTCTCACCCGCCACCTGCCTACTATCTCGAAAGCAATGAGCACCTCAACATCCGCACAAGATCTACCCCACCTGAACTTCCGTTCCTTCGTTGAGGCATTGAAAAAAGACGGCGACCTTGCCGAAATCAACGAAGAGAAGGACCCGCACCTCGAGGTTTCCGCCATCATCCGCAAGTCCTGCGAAACAGACGACAAAGCACCGCTCTTCAACAACGTGAAAGGGGCACAGAATGGCCTATTTCGAATCCTTGGTGCTCCAGGCTCGCTACGGAATGCAAAGAAGGGCAAGTATGGAAGGCTTGCACGCCATCTTGCCCTGCCACCGGATGCGGGTATGAAGGAGATTCTGGACAAGATACTGTCTGCCAGCAAGAAGCCTGGTGTCAAGCCAAACATCGTCACGACTGGCTCGTGCAAAGAGAACAAGCTGTCAAGCTATGAGATTGACCTGACAAAACTACCAACCCCACTTATTCACCAAGCAGACGGTGGCAAATACATCCAGACTTACGGTATGCATATCGTGCAATCACCGGATGGTAAGTGGACGAACTGGTCGATCGCTAGGGCCATGATCCATGATGACAAGCACCTCGTCGGTCTGGTGATTCCACCCCAGCACATATGGCAGATTCAGCAGATGTGGAAGAAGATTGGAAAGGATTGCCCTTGGGCGCTGTGCTTCGGTGTCCCTCCAGCCGCTATAATGGCATCAAGTACGCCGCTTCCTGATGGTGTGACTGAAGCTGAGTATATCGGCGCGATGACTGGTACGGCCTTGGACGTTGTCAAATGCGAGACAAACGACCTTCTGGTGCCTGCGAACTCGGAGATCGTCTTTGAGGGTAGTTTGTCCGTCACTCAGACCGCAGCTGAAGGACCCTTTGGTGAGATGCACGGGTACGGTACGTTTCAGTCGTCAACGTTCGAGTCTTTGTTTTAATCAAAAAGATACAGTTTTTCCAGGCAATGCACACCAGCAGCCAAAGTACAAGGTTGATTGCATCACCCACCGTGATAATGCCATCCTCCCTGTATCGGCTTGTGGACGACTCACAGATGAGACACACACCATGATTGGCTCCCTGGCTGCAGCAGAAATCCGCCAGCTGTGTCAAGACAAAGGTCTTCCTATTACCGACGCATTCGCACCATTCGAGTCGCAAGTCACCTGGGTAGGGCTGAAGGTTGACACCGCTAAGCTTAGGGAGATGAAGACCGACTCGAAGACGTTTTCAAAGCAGATCGGTGACATTGTCTTTAGTGAAAAGGTGGGATACACCATCCACAGGCTGGTGCTTGTTGGCGACGATATCGATGTATACGACGGCAAGGATGTCATGTGGGCTTTCTCGACTCGGTGCAGGCCAGGCGATGATGAAATCTTCTTTCCGGACACTCGAGCATTCCCATTGATCCCCTACAACGGCCACGGAGCACACAGTCCATATAAAGGCGGCAAGGTCGTGAGTGACGCGTTATTGCCAAGCGAGTACACGACAGGAGCTACCTGGCAGGCGGCGAGCTTCAAGGGAAGCTACCCCAAGGAGCTACAGGAGAAGACGAACAATGATTGGGCGGCGATGGGCTTCGAGAACGAGGCGTAAGCACTTGGGTGTTCTTCGGATGGTTCGTAGTAAAGAGCTTTCGAGCGTGCGCCTCAGAATAGACAGCATGAGAATAGATAGAAACGGTCGGTTGGTTGCAGCAGCTAATTCCCATTCTGTATGCGGAAGCGTCGGTAACATCGTAGAGTACAAGTGCGGGATAAATACTGTCTACTTCGTATCTTTCGCGACATTATCATCTCCTCGCTGCGTCAGAGTCGCGATATCTTGCTCCTGTTCGCGCCCGGGGCCTTTGAGCATGTACCAGGCTCCAAAGCCCGCGAAGAAGACCATGTTAGCTCGGTATGTGTAGCGCAGGAGTGTCTGTATGGTGGGGTTCGATGGAGGGGCCATTGCGTAATGTGTGTTGCTTCGATTGTTGTTGTGGTATTTGCAAGAAGGAAGGGGGGGGGGTTTAACGTTCAACAACGAAGGTGCGCTGCTGTGACGTCAGGCGATTTTCGCGCACCAGCCACTCAGTTGTCCATCACCTTGGGATCACAGCAAACACGCGCGCAAGACAAGCATCTATATTTATCGTCTTTGACGCTTACATAGTTGATCAAATCTCTGAGCCATGGCTTTGATGAGCTCAGGGTCATGCTGCGAAACGAAGCAACCCTGCCTGTTGTTAGCTTTACCACCTTGACGGCCCTCGATTCAGATTTGGACATGCCACTCTCAACCCACTCACGCCCAACAGCCTACTCGCGCTCCAGATGACATGCACACGATTTTGATCGACCTTGATCTCACCCTCCGGCATAAAGGGTTCGGTCAAGGATAGCACAGATACGAATTCCTCGCCCTTATTGGTGCGTCCGAAATCAGTTAGAGCATATAGCTCATCACAGATCAGGTGCAGCCCTCGCTCCTGGCAGAACTCCAAACAATCGGTCAAGACACTTCTAGGGTAGCATCTACCCAGCGGGTTCGACGGATTCGAAAGCAAGACTGCCTTAATGTGCTTCTTGACTGGAGAGAAGTCATATGCCGTTTGGAATGATGGGACAAGTTAGCTGGCATAGTTGGGTTATGTGGGTGGCTAGGCGACGATAATGATGACGTTTGCTCTCGTTGAGTCTAAAGGCTCAAAGCCGGCTGCATTCGATGAGCAGATCTTGGTCATGAGGGCAGCTACGATTTACGCCAATAAGGGCCAGGGATGATAATGCTGTCTCCATCGTCGCATACAGCACGTCTCACCTCCTTCATTGCTTCGCTGGCGCCTGCAGTGAGGATGATATGTTCAGGCTTTGACAGGATGAACAGGCTTGAAGCATTAGTTGAAGAGCACTGATAGAGTTACTCGGAGTTGGGGTTCACCACCCGGCGCCGTGGGCAAAGCGAATATCTGCTTGGTTAGGTTAGGAAATTGCTTTATATATACAATTGGCAACTTGCATCAGCTGTCATCCCATTCTCGATTACGCTCTTGAACACGTCAAGTAGTTCAGGGCGGGTAACTTCATTTTGTGCGTTTGATAGGTCGATTGTAGTAGTGTGCTGTGTAGACGCTGCGGCGAGCGTTAACGGTATGGGGTCGAGATCAGTGACGACCCTTTCCATGCGCAAAGACAGTCTAGAGTCCATTGTAAAATAGTGACCGAAGTATGCAGGGGTACAAACGTTCATGCATATCGGCAGGCATTGTGTGTAACATTTTCATTGTTCTGAGGCTCAGGCAGAATCCTGTGAGGCACAGCTCCGAACACAGACCCTAATGCACGCGGCATGCGGCGAGGCTGGCTGGCACTTTCTGCACACAGACTGAACATCCTATAATGCTCTACAGTACGAATGGTCGTACCGAAGTATGACGTGAAAGACGTAAGGGGAATCTTTGGTATGAATCACGACGCGCCAAAACCCCTAACCTCTGATGCAAACCTTGCCCAACCCCTATTGTACCGGTCCCCTCAGACCCAGAGGAGATGTGTAGACCGAAACCAACCGAACGCCGCATGAAGATGCCAAAGCGCAATTTATCTGCATACGACTAGTGCGTAGAAAAGCTAAGAAACAAGATATCTATTGCGGCGGCGGTCTTCCAATGCCCTGCTTTGCCTAAGGATGAGTTAGCTGCATGTCCACTCATCACTGTGGTTTCGAACACATACCTTCATCATCTCAATTCTCTGCTTCAGGTTCTGCGTCACTTCGGCAGCACGCTTCCAGCTCTCTGCACCAGAAGCAGCTTGGGAGCTTCCCAGACGGCTTGTGCCATTCTCAGCTGGGCTATTGCGACCACCTCGAGAGGAGAATGAGGATTTGCCTGACGCGTCTGCTCGCAGAGGACTCAGCTTGCCACTCGTATGACTGTCTGGGCGGGAGAGAGAATCAAAGTTCTCCTTACCATCACCACCAGGACTGATTGGCCCGCTTGCAATGCGACTGTCTTTGCGACCATAAGAAGCCTGGCTGTTGTAGTTGGAGTCACCAAAGCGTCCGTTACCATCAGAGTAGATCTGATCGGCCAGATCCGTGGGTGGAGGAGACGTGACGCGGACCTGGCGACTGAGTTCGCGCTTCAGGCGGTCGATCTCTCGTTGCTGGGTCTGGGTTGTCTGCTCTGCTGCCTCATAGTCTGAGCGAGCACGAACTAGCTGAGTCTCCTTGGCTTTGATAGAGAGGACGTCACGAGTGTGGTCTTCGATCAACTGAGCGTTCTGATTCTGAAGCTCGTGTATCTGAGAGGTCAGCTTTGTGCGCTCGCCACGCAGTTCCTCGTTGTGTCGTCGTAGTCGTTCAGCTTCTGCTCTCAACTCTTCAAGCTCTGCTCGCTCTACCAAGCCTAGACCAGTAGGAGCAGCCGCAGGCGCGGCAGCAGGCTCAGCAGCAGGCTTGCCTAGCGGGCGGCCAGCAAGCCCTCGTCCAGCACCGAACTTCGGCTGTGGTGGTGGCGCCACTTCCTCTTCCTCGGGAGGTGGCGAGGCGACTGGCTTCTTTGGTGAAGGAGCAGCAAGTCCGGCCTTCTTCAATCCTCCAAGACGTGGTCCCGCAAGACCAGACTTAAGTTTGGACACGCCCGGCCGTGATGTCGGCTTTGGAGCAAGCGGTGCTGTAGGCTCTTCTGCCGCCGGTGGTGGAGCTGCTGCCGGTGGCGCAGCTTTCTTGGGGGCTGGTCGTTTCCCGAGCGTTGGCTTTTTCGTTGCTGCTGGTGCAGCTGCGGGCTTAGGCGGCGGTGCAGCAGCCTTTGGTTTGTACTTTGCCTTTACTTCAGCTGCCTCGAAGTACTCTTTGATCTTGGTCTTCCTGATGTCATCAAGGCCGTCGAGATGAGCGTTCATGATGCGGTCTCCCATGATCTTCCAAAGTGTGCCGAGTACTTCAGCACCTGCAGAACGCTGTACCTCTTGCGACTCGACGAGTAGCTTTGTTGAAGCTTCGGCCAAAGTTTTGGCTTCAGGTGGCGAGGGGGCTTCACGAGTGTTCTTCAAGCAGCGAACCAAGAATCGTGTGGATTCCAGTTTGACCTGGGGGTTCTTGTGCTTCAGGAACTCCAGAATCTCCTCCAGACAATCTGCAAAGCTGGACGAAGCGAAGGCAGCATCCAGAGCACCTCCAAGAGCATCTGTTACGGTTTGCTTCTTCTCCTTGAGTCTTTCCATCATGGCGTTCATGATGTCCTTGCGGTACTTGTTGAAGCTTTTCTTGAGACCCTTAGCCAGAAGCTCGACGCAGTTGGCTGCTGTGATCACAACCGCAACATTGGCATCTTTCATAGACTTGGCAAAGCCACGCACTAAGTCATCAAACGGTCCTTCTGCGATCCTAGGGGTGTCCAGAGCTTTTTGTGTTTCCTCCAGCACCTCCTTGCGGTCTTTCCACTTCGTTGAGCCTAGTCGCTCGTTGAAGTCTCTCGGGATCTTTGCAAAGACGTCGACGGCCTCAAATTCAGGTTCCAGGTCGATCGCGCCCTCCTCTTCCTCGTCACCCTCGTCTTCGCCGCCTCCTGGTGTTGCGGCAGCTGCCTCCTTTGCTGCTTGTTGGGAGCGGAGTAGGCGTTCCTGCTTTGGCGGTGGCTCATCCTTGACTTTTTCGAACAGCTTATCCAAGTCCTGTTGCTGGACAGGCTTCAGATCGTTCCAGAACAGAGGCTTCATAGCGTCCTTGAGCCATCGGTAGAACTCTACAGTCAACTCCTGCGCCTTCGCTCGAACGTTCTTGTCTGCGTGACCGTAGACCTTAGGAAGAAGCTTGAGGACAGACTTGGGCTCGATCGTCTTGCAGCCGTAGGCGTGGTATATTTGGGTGAGCGCATCTAGTGTCGCGGCGATGACTTTGGGCTGTTTGTGTGATAGAATGGGGAGAAGCTCTTCGATGACTGGGTCAGGCTTGTCGGTCTCGATGTACAGGAGAAGCGCTTCGAGTGCGGCCTGCTTTGCCGCCGGTCGAGTTGATGGAAGGCCCTTTTCAGCGATAGTAGCGATAGTGATCTGCCTTGTTCTGCAATGCTGTCATCAGCAAACCTCAGACATTCAACCCATCCACGCGACTTACCGTGTGCAGCCCTGCTGGCCTGAGATGTCGAGGAAGGCGCACAGCGCGCCCAGACCCTCTTGTTGTGCTGCGACGTTCGAGTCGCCGACAACGCCTTTCCATATGCTTGCATCGTTTACGAACTGGCGCACAATGGGCTCATTTTCGCTCGTGGCGAGCTTGAACTCCTTGGCAGCTGCCTCGTAACCCTCCTTTCGTACCTTCCAGTTCTTGTGTGTGAAGCGATCGGGGAGGGGGAGGGCGCTGGGGTCCTCTTCTTGGTCGGCCATGGTGTGTTGTGATGTGTGGTGTGCAGTGCGGGGTGGGGTGCGTTGAGAAAGAAGTCCTACCAAGCAGTCAGTTGTCGCTGTTTGGGTCGCCTGCAGGGACGTCTAGCGTCTTCCAGAGCCGCGCTGGTGGTCTTGCGCGTGCAGCCTAAAGAGCATAGCGCGCAATGTCTCAGGGCGTCGATGCAGATACACAAGGGAAGGAGGAAGGGAATGACGTACCGTGCGTTTTGCTCTGACGCGGGCAGCTGTTCTGCGCGTCGTGATGCGGCTTATGTACGATATCGCAGTAGCGACAGCGCGGGTGCAGTGTTGTGTGTGTAGGGCCGTTCGTGACGGTTGGGCTCGCAGAAGCGGGTTGTTTTTGTGTTGGCGGGCGCTGTTGCTAGGGGACGGGCTACGTTTCGAGCAGCTGCATCATCATCGCCGTGAAGCTACACGCCCCAACCATGTCCCAGTGAACGCCGAGGACCCACGATAACACACACGAAGCCCAATTAGGATTCCTTGCGCCCATAGTGCTGGGACTGCAATTGCTCTTTTCGCCTACCGCGGCCTGTCTCACACCGAGGCGCGCACTGCAAGACACCCCGCCGACTGTTCTGCGCTGCTCAAACACTCACCGCAAATCCCCGCAAACCGCCGAAGAAACCCACGCCGCCGCTCTGCCAGCGCACACACCTGACCAGCTCCCGTGTATGGTGGTCGTCCGGCCGTTCCCGCCATGAGCGCTATCCTGACAGACCGGCAAGCGGAGGAGTTGTGAGTGCTGCGGTGCATATAATACCAGACACCCCACTAATGGTGAGGGCAGGCACAAAGCCATAATCGCATATCTCGGTGTTATCAATGCGCCAAACACAGCAGCTGCCTTTCGAGAGGAAGCCAATGTCTCGGACGCCTTCGATGATGCGACGCGCAAGAAGTACGAGGGCCTGCTGGAGAAGAAGTGGACCAGTGTAGTGCGCCTGCAGAAGAAGGTAGTTGCGCTGCAGGAATAACTAAGGAGACAATGCTGATATCGCACAGGTACTCGAGCTCGAGCAGCGCAATCAGAGTCTACAGAGCGAATTGGACTCGACCACACCAACCTCCCTTCTGCGCAAGAACCAAGACCCCACCGCCTGGCTACCACGAGCGCCCGCACGGCATACTCTCCAGTCCCACCGCTCACCGATAACCTGCGTCGCATTTCACCCTATCTTCTCTTCACTGGCCTCTGGATCGGAAGACACGACGATCAAGATCTGGGATTGGGAGCTTGGTGAACTCGAGAGGACGGTCAAAGGACACACCAAAGGCGTTTTGGATGTGGACTTTGGCGGACCCAGGGGGGGCACGCTTCTGGCGTCATGCTCAAGTGATTTGACCATCAAGCTCTGGGATCCCTCGGACGAGTACAAGAACATACGGACCTTGCCAGGCCATGATCATTCTGTCTCTGCCGTTCGATTCGTTCCCAGCGGTGCCGCGGGCTCACCATCGTCAGGAAACCTGCTCGTCTCTGCGTCTCGAGACAAGACACTGCGTGTATGGGACGTGACGACGGGCTATTGCGTGAAGACAATACGAGGGCACGCGGACTGGGTACGAGATGTGGCGCCCAGCTTCGACGGACGGTGGCTCGTTTCTGCGGGTAACGACCAGACTGCACGCCTGTGGGACGCCAATTCAGGAGAAGCGAAGTGCACTTTCCTCGGTCATGAACACGTTATCGAATGCGTCGCAATAGCACCGCCAGTTGCATATGCCAACTTGGCCTCTCTCGCCGGACTGAAGAAAGCACCGCCGCTCAGCAGCTCAGCAGAATACGTTGCAACAGGATCGCGAGATAAGACGATCAAGATTTGGGATGGTCGGGGAACACTCATAAAAACACTAGCTGGCCACGACAATTGGGTGCGATCACTTGTCTTCCACCCTGGCGGGAAGTACCTGCTCTCAGCCAGCGACGATAAGACAATACGATGCTGGGATCTGACCCAGGAAGGACGGTGTGTGAAGACCGTCACGGACGCACATAGTCACTTCGTCAGCTGCATGAGATGGGCACCGAACGTAGTCAAGGATGTTCCGGTCAACGGCGACAGTTCAAATGGAGCAGGGTCAAGCGCTGCAAACAAGAAGAAAGAGGAAGACGCTGCCAAGGCAGGGATCAGATGCGTGATTGCAACGGGATCTGTGGACCTCAACGTCCGCATCTTTGCATCCTGACCGGAGAGTAATCACTGAAGCAACAACCACATGGCTATCGCTTGATTAGACCAGCGACATGGCTGAGACACGGAAAAGGAGTGTTCGTCCAGAGCTGTTGACACTTCAGATGATCCTAGCTCCTGGTCACTCAGCTTGTGTTCAGAAGGGAATGCATGGAGGCACAACCCATTAACGAGACCACGAATGGTAATCATACGTTCACGATAGCTGCATTCTGAGATAGGCGTCGTTGGCATATTCTTTGGTACTGAGAACACGTATCCGGACACGCGGATGCTTTAGATGATACGATCGTCGAGTGTAGATAGCGAGAAGATGAAGCAAGTGTAACACGAGTCAATCACGCAGTGTACCTTGGCAGTATCTATTCAACATCAAGCAACATGGACAACACCAGCGGAGCAGAAGCTGTGCACGTGCCCATCCGCGCTTAAGTCCCGGAAGATTCGGGCGCCGCTCCGGCCGCCCCACCCATCACCTTACAACTTTTCGCAAGCTCCAAGCTTTCTCTTTCGCACACCACCACGTCGCGCTTCGCGCTTCATAACAGCACTGCCAGGATTACATTCTGAAATCCGTTACGCGTCATGAACCGTATCTGCGCGTTGTTTCGTGCCTGAGGTAAGCGCATCTCCCAACCCAACCCAGTCTACAGGATGATACACAAAGCCAATTTCAAACTAGAGTCTTTGACCTTGCGGGGAATGAAACTCACACTTTTGCACGTCAGTCTGAATGCGACTACGCTTGCCAACTCATCATAACATCGTCGGTGTAGATTCAGTCGCTGACAATTACCAGGTCTTGTAGTACGCAAACACTGCGCCATGATGCAAGTGAACATGTCGATAGTCCAGGAGCAAGTGAACCAGCCGCGGTAGATGAAGTACGTACGCACTCTTTCACCCCCCCACCCCCCCACATCCAATGATGATCAGTTTGTGCTTTGCACGCTGGAAATTACCGGCTCAGGTTTCGACCGATGCAGATAGAAAATGGCTGTTTCTGATATTGATGCCACCCTCTCGATCTTCTCATGTACCACGGTTACCTCTTACTGACTGCTGGTCCACAGATTAATAGATGAGCCTTGTGGTACGATTTATCCTTCCGCAGACTGACTCGAACTTTCACATGATGCAACCGCACTGGGCACCGACAATTCTTGAAGGATACGCTCTATTGTGGCAGGCCTAGAAAACCTCGCCGACTGATCTCGTTCTACTGTCTTGCGCTATGGACCACGCACGGCAAGAGCTTAGCTGACCTTCTACACGTCAGACCTCAGCGTACAAGCACCTCACAACCTGGCTCATGATGCCTTTATTGTAAGTTTGAACCTTCGTACACCTCTCTGGAGATGATGCGACGTATAGATGACGAGTCTGACGGGCTCGCCCGGTGACGACTTCATTTAAAATATCCATTCATGCCTTTCTGATCCAACTCCGAATTAACTGTTTGCTTGGTCTACGCATGAGGATCTTTGCTGACTCTTTTTAGAGAACAACAACGCCAACCCCCGTCCGGTACGCTCAATGATGCACTACCTTCACTCCTACCATGATGATACGACGCAAACACAAGACAAGCATATGTCCAAGCTTCGGCAGAGACGAGCCTGTCACGTCTGATTCGCTATCGCACTGGCCCTCTCTTCAAATATGGTCTTGGCGGCGCTGGCTAACCGGCCGCGCAGACATGTTCATCGAGCATAATCTTGACATGCTGTTATGGTACGTTCTCTCAATTCTCCTTCCTGTTTTACCTTACAAGATGAACATTTATTTTATCACGACGGTCTACCGAGCTACGGCAATGGTGATAACTGCCTGTGACAGGGCAAGTGTCTGAACAACTCCTTATCATTGCGTCTGCACTTCTTGATTGACCTGGACCAGTGCTAATTGCACCTACAGTTCTTGACCATACCATTCTCGACGACCCGTTCGAACGGCTCGACGTGCTTCGATTTCGTGTCCCTCGATGCAAGACTAGCTCTTCACGATTTGCAAGAAGTCGGGTGTGTTTTGAAAAAAAAATATGATCGCCTGTGAAGCTATCTCGAAACCGTGTTGTGCGCAACTACGTTGCATCGCCATATAGGCCACCGTGGAATGCCTCGCTCGAAACATGATTGGTGCCGTACAGAAAGAAAATACCACGCTCAGTACAACCCAATCGTTATGTCTCCACGGATGCGAGCTGTCAGATGAATCTCTGCCTCGAGGTCGAGCTTGATTCCAAGCAGAAGCGCTGCATCCTTTGGCTTGCCGTTGTCGTCGACAGGGCCCTTGATGATGTTGCCTGCCGGGCGGTTGAGGTTGACGGAGGATGGGACGGGTCCGATGTTGCTCGAGATCTTGCGGCCACCGGAAGCTTGGCCTTCACTGCCTGTGTCGGACATGTAGCCGGAAGGACGCGTAGTTTCGCTGATTGACGGTCAGTATTATTGAACGTTAACGAGATCTTCTCAACGTACAAGGAAGACATTGTGTGGTTGATTGAATATGGGCGAGTCGATAATTAAGTATTATAGGTACTGGTCGTTAGGGCGCCGGGCCGTATTCGTGGAAGTTTTGATATGGCGAGTAAGAGAGAGGCAGATCAACTGGTATGGTTCTTATCCAGCGTCTCTGTTTGCCTTAAGTATATGACAATATTCAGGTGTCCATACGACAGTACGAAACGCAGCTACGGTGGTCGACATCTTCTCCCTATTGCTCGAAACCGTTGTTGTGCCACAACCAAGTCGCAAGGCTTATGATCGTTCGACACTCGTACCAATCTCGATCGCGAAACAGAAGTTGGCTATTACGTGCTGACTCCGAGTAATGCATCCTTGTGCTTAGGAGGAATGTCTACGGGTCACTTATGCATGCGGGGCACTTGCCACTGAAAGGTGAAACGGGGAGGAACGATCGGGTCACAAACGATGTCTCACATCAACAGCCTCGTTTTGAGTCCTCAAGAATGAACCCGCAAGTCTAGTACGCTGCAACTAGGGACGGTCCGCATGCAAATCATAAGCTTTCTACCGTGCGCATGCAGGAGGTGATCCTTGTGTTCATCTCTCAGTCGATCAAACGCTCTTCTACGACACCAACTGCGATGCCTCTTGAACGCGGTTTCGCCCTAAGGCACAACACGGCCGTCGCAATGACTTGACGTGTAGAGATATGTCGTTCGACTTCCTGATCACGTCACCGACATCTTACGGATTGCTGTTCCCCACGATAGACACTTCCTGTAGCGGGACGGCAACTCGTGAACACACGCAAACGCAACAACACCTGCCAGACTCAGTAATCTCACTATGGTGCTTGGAATCTTGATTGCAGCAATCGTTGCCCCAGGTCTACTCGGCAGTCAGGAAGCCATTCGCCAAGGACAGTCGAAAGACAAAAGAGAAGAACAACGTGCTCGCCGATGTAACCTCATTGCAACCTGCGTCAAATCTTCACCGAGAAGCCGAGAGATTGATGGACGTCCGGTTGTGCTTCGCAACGGAAAACTCTGGGTCGACACCACCACCGAGGATGGTGAATCACTCGGCCACATGTATGCTGGCTACTATCTGCCGTACCCGGACACGAAGTACGAGGGTCTAGTCACCACTATCACAGATGTTGCGCCCATCATGAACTGGGTATATATTGACAGGGAAACACACGAAGCGAAGTATGGTGTGCGGGCTGATGCTCAACCCAATCTCACTGGACCGTTCGACTGCACACGTCAAGATCGCCGTCTGACCTTCGATGGCTGGGAAGGATGGTGCGCTGTGGAGGAATACGAGGGATACTGGTGCCTATACTTCGATGTCGACGATGATGGGTTGAAGTCGAAAGTCGCGCCGGGTACAAGAGTATTGGAGATTGAGTTGAGTAGGACGGAAAAGAGGTTTAAGAAAGAGAAAGAGGCGCGGCAACAGGACCAGACGACCAAGAGAGCGGTGGATAATAAAGAAGATGCGCCCATTGATCAGCAGTTGCAGCCCGAGACAGAAGTAACAAGACCTGGGGTGTTCAACGAACCGTCACCGGAGCCAGAAACGATTCCTACGGAGGAAGCAATGCCGAAGACACCACCGCCAGCATATTCGAAAACAAACAAACCTGTATCTCTGCCAAGTGAAGAACGTCCGAAGAAAGGTGCTGTTGATTCGTTGGACGATTTTCTGGCTATGGAATCGCAAGCTGCAGCTGCACCTACCCGAAGTACACGACCACAGAGGCGATTAATATCACCCCCGCCAGCGCCACAGCAATCCACTCCTCTAAGCGAGAAGCGAATCACTCCAAAATTCAACCGGAATAGTGGAAGCAAAGCGATTGCACAAGCTCAGATGTTCGAAGCTATGGCAGCTGCACAAATGCGCAATGATGACACAACGACAAGAAGGACCTCAGGCAGCAAGCGAAGATCTCTAGCCAGTAGCAATGCCGATTCGGCGTCAGTATATTCTGAAGAAGACCAGAGGCTGAGCAGAGAGATTCGACCACAGTCAAGCGTGTCACAAAGAGCATACTATCAACCACCTGTAGCACCACCAGTGCCGATTGTACGCTCACAACAACCACAAGTCAAAGACAGCCCGGAAGCGGACTCGCAGCGGCCCTCATTGCCATCGTATCGAGAAGACACACCACTTGCTGATCCCGCAGTATTTGGTGCATCTGCTCCTATTAGTAGCAAGCGGAGGAGTCAAGCGAGCTCTTCCTCCCAACAAAAACTAAACTCGAGGACGTTTACAGCCCGACGTTCTGGAAAACTTGTGTCACCAAGGAGCTCAGCCAAGAAGTCGCTCACAGATAAGATGTCGAGCGGTGCAGGCAAGCAGAGGTTGTCAACTATGGACAGATCTGCAAAGGTACAGGGAGGAAGTAGTAAAACTGGCAGTAGAACCCAGACAGGCAGGAAGACGACATCGACCTTTTTGAGAGACCTCGATGACCTAGTGAGTCAAGAGATGGTGTCTGATTTGCCTAAGAGTAACCAGAAAGCTCCCGCGTTTGGGAAAGGGTTGCCTGCAAGAGGCGAGCAAAAACGTGGTAGGGAACGGGCGGATAAAAGGTCTGTGAGGCGCACGTAGAACAACATGGCTAATGTCTACCGATAATGAGAATATCATTTTGTGATCGGTATTTCCATGCATTCTTTCCTTCGAGTTTTGATGGTTGTTGGTCCACGACTGGGACCCAATCAGGGACTCGCGCTAGCCATACCCTCAAAGCCGTCATTGCCTTCCTATTCCCCTTCCTTCCTCATCGACGAACTGGAACTGCTGTCAACAATTGTTCGAATTTCGATGAAGACGTGCCTTCGCTGCTCCAGGATGTCCGCTCAAACAAGCACGTGCCAGCTTGCACTTGAAACTCGGACCACCGGCAGCGGCGAGCCCCACTGTCGGTGCTTCAACTTTGTGTCGAGAACATGCAACATGTCGCGAAGGCAACATGTTAGCCGACTGACTTTGCCCTGCTGCAGATAATGTTTGGCAGGGAGATGAAGGAAGATGAAGGTATATGAGAGGATAACTAAGTTGGGGTGTGGGGCCTGATGATGAATGTCCGCTGTCGCGGTTTACCGGACATGCCTGTTACTTGTGACGTTCATAGAAACTAACAACAACGCGGGAAACACGTCGAGAGCGCGTACTGGAGCTTCCGCTCGACTGTAGCTGGGTTGCACAGCGTACATTTAAGCAACTTTTTCGAGGCTTACGATTATCACACAATGGATGCGTCCACGCGGTTGTACGCACGACTAGGCGAGATTCCTGAGGACCCGAAGGACCCTGAGAGTCTTGATGACTTGATCGTATGTGCCTTTGGGGCTTTCGAAAGATACTACCTATGTTGGAAGACAAAAAGCGGCGACTTCAGGCAAGGTCAGTGCAATAGTGTTGAGGAAGCATCATCCACTGACAGATTTAGACGGCTACGATCTCCCACCCGCATTGAACGAATGGCTAAACCCGACTGACGGTACAACGCGAGACTGGGCCTCACTCCAGGTCGTTTTCGGACGTGGTGAAGAGTACTTCGCGTCAGACAAGAATGGGAAACTCGAGTTCAAAGAGCCAGAAGTCAAGAAGCCCGCTGAGGAAGAGGAGAAAGAGAAGATCGACAGACAAGCTCTACGCAGATCGAGAACCGTGTCATTTTTGCGACCACTCTCGCAGGCTAGCAATCGATCTGATGGTGTCGCCACCGAGACACCTGCGGTGAATAGGCGCACATCATCCATCTCATCGCAACGAGCATCAAGACCTCCAAGTCTTTCATACTCGACAACAGGATCGGAAGCTTCGATAGCACCGCCTATCGAAGCACCGCCTCAGAATCCTGCTCCAGCCGCGCAGCCTTCATTCTTCTCACGACTGGCGTCAGTGGGCTCCACTACATCGGGTCCGACAACCGCGATGTCTATACCAGCGACCGAGTCTAACCCAACTGAGCCTTCTTCGACAACTGCGCCTGCCTCGACAACTGCGCCTGCCTCGACAGCGAACGCGACTCCCTCCACCCAAAGTTCTGCACCACCGTCCATTCAGTCTCAGCTACCGAGCAAAGACTCGAATCGATCCGGCATTGCTTCCATACCCGAAGAACGAGTCGAGCCGAATCCAACAACAAAGAAGAGCAATGCAGTAGATGCATGTACATGTGGTTGTCACGACCCACCACTTCCTCCAGTTAGACGACCGATCTACGCCAACGCAAGCGTCCAGACAGACCCAATCTCTCCACCACCGCGGACATCACTACGAGTCGATACATTCAGTGCTTCTAGCTGGGGTAACAACAACTACAGTGCTGTTTCTCGAGATGTACAGACACCGATATTTGAGAATAGTTTCTGCGCGGCCCCCTTCTCCATGGGCCGGATGACGAACTACTTCAGCAAACCGGGCTATCAGCTTGGTGACAGCTTGGCTAGCGGATACCATTACTATGAGCAGCCAGTGTATCAATATCAGGATGAATTTGGAGATGAGGCGTTGAGATAAGTTCCCTAATTAAATTAACCTGCAGACCTGGGGGGCGAAATACAGAGTATCGGTTGCTTCCAGGCCAGCGTTCCTTGTGTTACTAGTAGTTCATACCCATCGATTATTTCGTCTGATTCCTTTCTGGAGTGGAGCACTTATTTAATAGACGAGCACAAACGCCACAAATATTCTTGTCAATCCATGCCTGTGAAATTGTCCACCGAGTCCCCTGGGTGGCAGTATAAGCCATTAGGCAACGCAAAAAAGAAAAAAAGAGATATCATAGGTAATATAGACCACGCTTGTCGTGTTCCACCCACCTACGCAATTCTCTATCACGATCTTGTACCATCACAAAAAGAAGATTTGCATCGGCCGGGAATCGAACCCGGGGCTAGCCGAAACTGTCCTTAGTAGGATGGCAACGGCTAATTTTACCACTAAACCACCGATGCAATATCAAGTTTCTTGCGATTTAATGCAACCATAAATTTTATATACACAAAGCTGTTAACCTTGCTGGTCGAAAATGCTTATTACTTTTCGATAAATTAAAACCTATATATTGCCGACAAGCATACTCGACCCCTGCAATAGTGTGGTGCAGAATTAGCCGGCACAATTTCACGCACATAGTGTATAGAAAGTCAATTAGCATCTTTCAGTACCGTATGCGAAGGAACCTCGACAAGCAAAACATAAATGTGGGGGGAAAGATTAGAGAATCACCAAATATCTCCAGAGCTTCGTTGCAAGCGTGGAAAATGATTGCTGGCCAGTTGCCGGAAGTAAGACCCGCTGCTGAAGCGGGAGTTAATCTAGACGGACAAGTAATGGGCGAACCAGCTCTCGTCCCGACGGTCATTGTACAGTTTTACACTCGATACTGCGTGCTACACTTTCAAGTCCTGCTGCTCTTCTCTGCCCCTACGTCATGCCCCTCTTGTACGCGTCTCCGACGGCCGGACTCAACCACCACCCTAGATCTAGCGTCTCCGCCCACGTCTCGTCCTTTTTGGCAATTGCGTCCCGCACAAATTCCTTCTTTTCCCAGTGCTGATGGAAGTCCAAACTTAGCCCCAGACTACCGTATTCCCACGACTCTGCCCATTCCATGCGCGGCGGGTACGGCGATACGTCAAATGCAAGCTGACTCGCGTAGCGGTTGGGAGCAAAGCGACTTGATCCATAGTTCCCAAATTGGAAGAGGGGATAGGACCTCTTGATGAAGTAGTGGAAGGGCTCGATGAAGCGGCCGCGCGAGAGCGTGAGTGTATAGTGCTTGGGGTTGAAGGCGGCACTGTGCAGCGGCGACCATGGGAAAGGAGCTTTGCTTGGAGGTGGAGGGTTCTGCAGATGGTCCTGAAGCGCGGCACCTGTGAGCCACGGGTTTTCGTCGTGGTACACTGGGGCAATGCGGGTGGTGAGGGTCATCTGGACGGTGAATTTCCAGGTGTCGTTGTCAACCTTGACTGGTTCTCCTGTGAATGACCAGTTAGATTCGACGGCAAACCAATCATGTTGGTTCTCCCCGCAGCTGATCTGAAGAGCATTAGTTTCCTTGTTGCATGTACACATGTGGAAAAACAATAAGTCCCAATACGTTGTGGAAGAGGTATACCCACTGTTCCTGTCCCATCTTTTTCAAATGTAAATCGACACGAAGCGTCAACACCTCCCCAAGTCCATGGGTCTGCGTCTCCGCAGAGCAAGGCAATCACTTGTTCCTTGACGTCGCTCGTATTATTGGCCATCGTTTGAGTGATGGGCTGTCGAGGAGCGAAGAAGGAAATTGCAACGGAGTCTGGAGCACTGCTGTAAGACAGCAAAATGCTGTGTATCTATGGTAATAACTAAGCAGTTTGCGTCTTAATCGGCGTCGGGAATGTAGCATGAGGTTGTCGGAGTAGCCTGGTGCCTAAAGCAAGCGCACGGACCGGGCCCGCCTTGTCTTACCCCTGCTGCGCCGCTCCATCTAACCGTCTTGACCTCAGACCACATACCCTGTTAATCTCCGCTGCTATAGGCTACCGGACCAATGTGAGCTGAGCAGGAAACGTAAGCACCAAGTGGGGTAGTAGCATGTCCGACCGAGCAGGGATGAACTAAAGATTGTCCGTAGGTCAATACGCCGCGAGATCACACTTGACATACACGTAGATTACTCGGAAGTCCGTCAACTAACTTGAAATGGCTTGATATCTGCTCCGTCGGGTCATGAACTTCTGGGGATCTCAATAATATCCGTATTCGGGAGCAAGTAAATCCTTGACATGAGGCATTCACCCCTGTGCAATTCCGTTCACCATCACGAGCTTGGACAGCTCTTCTGAGCTTGACCGGAGTTTGACGCAGTTGAAAGAAGACTATCCACATCGCATACCGTTACAAGGGAGACAAGGTCATAGCTTTTAAGGTAAACGGACATATATAATGCCTAGGGAGAATTGCGTATTCTACATCCACGACATTCATTCCAGACTCACTCATTCCATCACATCTCCTACGCTCGTTCCTGTCCTTTAGAAGTTACATCCACATCTTTCTCAACGTTCTTTCTTCGTTTCACAGCTGGTCTGTCTCTTCCCACATTCAATCGAACCACCTTCGCCGCTTTTCTCAAAGAAAACAAGATGCATTCGAACTCGATGTTTGCTATACTTGCCGCACTGAGCCTTGCAGCGGCCACTCCTATCGACTACAGTCTTCAAGCACGAGGAAATACCCCGTCTAAGCCTGCAGATATTCAATGTTCCGGCGAGATCATTGGATACCGCACGATCGTAACTCAGGTAAGATACTGCAGTCTACGAAGAGTCTCATCTTGGGAGAGGCACAGGCTGGGAACAGGCCTTGTCCCAGTAACGAGCATCGCGATAAAAGAATTCTCAATCCTACCCAAAGTCTACTGGTACCTCCTCGCTCTTTTTTGAAAGAAGAAATCGCGTCTGAACGTGATCGTAAGGAGAGGTTGGCTAACACAGTCTTTCACAGGCAAATGCGGACAAGGTAAACATAGCGAAGACATTTCCCAAGGACCAGCCTGGAGGAATCGATCTCGGTAGCAGCTCCGTCTACTTTAGTGATGGCCTCGGCGACTGGAAGGGTGCCGGCACAGGAGTCAAGTACGTTAGTAAACAAGGAACTTATCATCAACATACTAAGTTTGATCCAGTTGGTGCATCGCCTATGCGGACAGCGCCCAACTCAAAGCCGCCAATAAAGTCTGGTTCACTGAAGATCAGAAGTTGCTACAGTGCACTCGCTTCAGCGATGCCAATGTCAACGCCTACATCAACATGGTCTCGAACAACAAATTCACTCCAGCATCTACGCTGCGCTTCTCAGAGCTAGACAAACATCTTCAAGTGGCTATACCATTCGCCATGCTCGATAAGATGAAAGTCTGCGGGAAGTGCTTTCCGAGAGCAGAGGCAGAGAAGATGGTAGCCCAATATCCGCGCGTCAACTGGAATACGTCAGTATACAAGGTTTCAAACACGAGGCTGAGGCGCAATGGTCTTGATGCGAGGGCTCCTGCAACCTGTCCTCTCAAGGCGTCTCCAACGCCCAAGGGAAAGTCAACACCGACTCCTACGCCCAAGGGAAAGTCAACACCGACTCCTACGCCCAAGGGAAAGTCAACACCGACTCCTACGCCCAAGGGAAAGTCAACACCGACTCCTAAGGGAAAGGCAGCACCGACTCCCACGGGCAAGAAACCAAGGGCCGATTTCAAGCCGTGATTCCCTCAGTGGTGCCGATCAGATAGATACCTCCCGGACGCAACCTCAATCCCACAATCTATATTGAATGGCTCGAGTCTTCTAGCACTATTGAAGCAAAGAAGAAACTGTTGCGGTATTGGTCGATCCTTACAAGACCCTATCACCCTTGCTAAGACTGTTCTGGACTAGCACGTTCCAGAGTCCATATATAGTGGTCTTCTCCTAGCCAGATAGCAATTCAGTGGTGTGTTCCATCGACTCGATAGTCCTACGTTATTGTATATTGTAGGTATCGGTGTTACTACAGTGGCTTCAGCGCCACAAAAACCAACCTTGAGGCACAGACCCCCAACGGATTAATGGTTTGATAGATTGATTGATTGATTGATTGATTGATTGATTGATTGATTGATTGATTGATTGATTGATTGATTGATTGATTGATTGATTGATTGGTTTAACGTCCTATCTGAGTCTAAGACTATGGAAGACGAGAGGAGCAGTAGCTCCTCTAGTAATGCAAAGATTTAGTTACATGAGAGTGAGGTCAATGGAGG